AGCCCTGGTGGGGGAACAATCTGTAGGACGTGAAAGTAATTAGATGTAGGACTGAGGAAGAGGGAGAGGTTCAGGCTGTCTGCCAGGTTGCCAGTTTCTGTGATTGAAGCGTTGATTACACCATTTACTGAGATAGGAAACACAATGGGAGGGACCCAGAGGTTTTGAGAGGAATGGAAATGAGTTCAGTTTCAGAGATGTCAAAACTGAGAAGGGCCATGCAAGTCCAATAGGTAGCTGTATCACAGAGCTTTATCCCTGATCCATTTGCTAGACCTTTAGATAGCTGAAGATTCCATTTCTGAACTGATTTAGGAGTCGTCTCTTAAGCTGACTGAGAAAGATTAAGAGAAACCCCTGAGGTCAAAGTGACTTGAGGTAGTAGTAGGTAATAAACAGAAGAATCCTACTCCTTTCATCATATAAATCCTCTGTGAAGTTGGGCTTATTATCATAGCAGTTTGTATGTGAGGAAACAAGCCTCGGAGAGATTCATTGATACCCAAAGTCATAGAGCTAAAAAGGGGCGGGCGTGGAATTCCAACCAAGGCTTTTGGATTTGGTGGTTTCTTATAATCATTATGGCCAAGCCCATAAATGGCCTCCAACACTGTATTATCTGGTCCCTGCTTGGCTTTTCATTCTTACCACATGCCAGTTTCCCTTCCTTGAGCAAGTCATGCTGTCTTCCACCCTGGGATCTTTGCTTTTCTTTCCAACTGAATGTACTTTTTCAATCACTCTTTCCCTAATGAACTTGATAATTAACCCTCAGATCTTCGTCTCTGAGAGATGTCCCTTTGACTCCATGAAATAGGTCAGGCATCACACAAAGGAGGCTTAGAGCAACTTCTATTATTCCTTCCCAGGGCTTACTACAGTTTGCAGTTACACATTTACATCTTTGATGGGTTGGCTAATGTGTGTCCTTTTAGTAAATTTCACCATAGCCTAGAGATGGTGCCGGTTACTGCTGTACTGTTATCCATGTATCTCCAGCACATCATGAGGGACCTGGCCGAGAGCAGTTGATCAATATATATTTTTTGAATGGAAGAACTACTTCAAAATCCATGCACTTAACCATTCTATGCTGCCAGAAATGTTTTGGAATATACCACATGGAAGAATTATACATTTTTTGTTATAAATGGAAGAACAGTGTATAAATGACCACTGATAACAGACTATGCCAAAATAAAGAATCTGTTAATTTTTTTATACCTTAGAACTATGGTATTGAAAATTAGCTAAACAGCCTATAAGAAATTAGAGGATGGAGAAACCAAAATGAGTTATTATGTTAAAGAATGATAAAGAAAGGAATTATTTATAATTGTGCAAGAATTTGAAGTAATTAGGGACACCTGGGTGGTTCAGTCGGTTGGGTCTGCCTTTGGCTCAGGTCATGATCCCAAGGTCCTGGGATGGAGGTCCATATTGGGCTCCCTGCTCAGTGGGGAGCCTGCTTCTCCCTCTCCCACTCTGCCTGCTTCTGTTCCCTCTTTTGCTGTATCTCTCTGTCAAATAAATAAATACAATCTTTTTTTTTTAAACTATTAAAAAATAAAAAAAGAATTTGAGGTAATTACATAAAATAGCACATTAATAGGTTTTCCTGTCCCCCCATGAAACTTACAAGGTATTTAAAGGTCCACATACAGCCAAGTAGAGGGAGAACACATAGGTTCAGATTTAGTCGTGTGGTCCAGGTACCCTGCTAGCCCTGTGCATTTTAATAGGTTCTATTATTATTAAGTATAGAGAAGCCAACAGATCAGATGACTGCCATTGAAAAGATAGTTTATTATACTCACAGATCGTGTGTGTAAGACAGTACATGTCTCATCACAAGGGCTGAGAGGGAAGCATTGGGGTCCATCTCAAGACCAAAAGAGAGGGACTGGCCTTGTACTTTTACTGTGGTTACATCAACAAGGAACAGGCCAACATTATATGTTAATAAACAAACAAACAAACAAACAAACAAAAACAAGGAACAGGCCAGACAAAGTAAGTAGGTTTGGGATTGTCTAGTTTCAATACTTTCAGCAGCCTCTGGAGTACAGGGGCTCTCCTCGATTGTCTGGCACCTAGACCTTGGGGTGATTACAGCAGTTGTAGAGTGGCCCAGAGGGAGAGCCCGCAATAACAGAGGTGGTTGGGGTGTGGGGTCTGGATTGGTTGGTTTGTATTGGAAAATGAGAAGTGAGAATCTGGGAGAAAGACTCCTCCCAAGGGTGGTAGAGGGCGGGCAGCCAAGGTAGGGTGGCTCAGGTACGTTATCAGTTTGTTCAGACCAAGGTGTGTCCAGCCCAAGTATACAGAACAGATGGCAAAGCATCAAATTCACAGAAGCTAGAAGCATGCTTGATAAACTGCGGTTGACCCACTGCGTAACTTTTATTAAGTTTATCTTCTGTTTCTATCCCATCAGAAGTGAGGATAGTAATAACTGCCCTTATTCTTCTCTGAACCGTGGTCCCAGGATCCTTACTCTGTTTTAGGCCATTGACCCCTGAGACTCTGTTCACCAAAGAATATAGTTAAGACATTCAGACTTAGCCTGGTCTCCACAGACTACCCCCATTCTATCCCTCCCCTGTTCAAAAAAGAACCCTGCATGCTGTGCAGGCTAGTTTCCTCCCTGTGGAAATTAATATGCTCATTTCTAAATGTGGAAGGGACTTAGTGACTAAGCCTAAAGCTCCAAAGACCAAAGGCTTGGATTTGAATCTCTGCTCTGCCATTTAGAGTCTATAAGACCTTGAACAGATCGCTTCATTTTTCTGTGCTGCATCGTACTATTTATAGTCTGTAATTATCTGCCTTATCTGTTTATTCCTTGTGTCCCACAAGAAGCTTCACAAAGGCTGAGATCTAGCATCTCTTATTTATTGTTGGGTCTCCAAATCTAGTACAGACAATTTCAAGGCAGACAGTATGTATTGAGTAAATATTTGCCACTGGATGAAGAATGAGCGGATTCACTAGCTGATTTTCCAAGCAGGTAGCCATATTTCACTGTACAAGAGGTCACAGAGATCTGCCTGTTCTGTTTGCCTTGGAGCCTTTATCCAGAAAGCGTTTTCACGAGCATGGTTTGAGTCAGTATAGACCCATTCCTGTCTTGTATATTCATATTTCTGTATTTAAAAGCAAAATCTATAATGCATAATGGTAATTGATGTTCATTGAAATGCCAGAAATGAAAAACCAAATTCAAGTCAAATTAAATTCTTAAGATAAGGATAAGGCACACATTAGAAAAATTTCCATCTAAATAGGAAAGACCTTCAGTATTTAGGGGTTAACCTTCAACTTTTTGAAAAGCTTCCCAGGAGACTCATTTAGAATGTGCTCTACATTGTTGCTTTTTTCAAAAAAAAAGTGTGTGTGTGTTTTTTTTTTTTTTTTTAAGTATGGAAAATTTAAAACATATACGTAAGGATCCTTTAAAAAAAAATCTTCATATCATTGTCTTATCTAAAACAACAACTTCTTAACATTTTCAAGTACCCAGTCATGTGAAAACATCCTCTGTCATATAAAGGTCTCTCTGCGGCTGTTTTGTTTGAATTGGGAGCTAAACCAGGTCAACATACTGCATTTGGGTAATCTCTTAAATTTCTTTTAATTTATAATAGTTTCTCCTTCCCTCTTTTTTCCCACATGGCCAGTTTTTTAAATTAAAGAAACCAGATCATTTGTCTTGTGATTATTTTTCATATTCTTGATTTTGCTCATTGCATCCCCACAGTGGCCTTTAAAAAGTTTCAATCTTTTCCCTATATTTCCCATAAACTGATAATTAGAGCTGGAGGCTTGGGTAGATGCAGGTTTGACTTTTTGGTAAAAATACTTCAATTTGGTAAAAATACTTCAAATACTTCTGATTGTCTCACTTTTGTGGGGGAAGGCACATTATCTCTTCTTGTAATACTAAAACTAATCAGTGGGGGCCGGTATTTTACTTCAGCCTGATCTCCCTGTTCTAGAAGTTATGCAGTTTTATGCATATTTCACATTATGCAGTTCTCAGCCCTGACTACACATTAGAACATCTGCGGAGCCTTACACATTTCTCATGCCTTTGCCCTACTTCCAAGAATTCATCCAGGGTGGTTCTGGGCTCATAAAGAGTGGTTCTTGTTGTTTTTTTTTTGTTTTGTTTTTTGTTTTTTTTTAAGAAGACCTAGGTGACTTTGATGCACAGGCAGGACGGAGAACAACTTACTTAATAACTTGGGTAGTCATTGAGGATCTTTGCCTAGAGATCCATTATTTCAATAAGGGTTGTAAATAGTAATATTCTTTTAATGCTTTCTGCGTGTATTAGCAGAAATTCTACAAAAACTTTCATGAAGTCTTTGGTTCTTTCTTTAGTTTGTATAGGAAATGTAGGATAAAAATTGGATTCTTACCAGTTTTCTGAATATTGAGTTGAATGTCCACCATCCTACAAAGGTGACCAGTGAGTTTTAAGTATTATTATCCATTCACAGATTTTAGCATAATTGATATTTCAAATCATTGCATTTATTATTATTATTACTGTTATTTTGATGCCCAAACTGTTTGACCTTTATCCAATGGTAACTCTTTCAAGTTCTCTGGTGACTTTCTTGGCAACAACAATAGTACGGATTTGATGGCTTCCTTGCTATTTATATGACGTGTTTTAGGCTCATCTTGTACATCTAATAATTTAGTCATTTTGTGGCCTCTTCATCTTGTACAATTCCTGTCTTGAACCTAGAATCAGGCATTCAATTGTCGAGCTATCTGTGTCCTCCTCCGGTGACATTCTATTTAGTGACTATGACAGGATTACAAAATGAAATGACAGATATTTATAACAATAGTGAATTTCTAAACAGTAATTGGAAAAAAGCATAATGATCATGTAAGAAAAAAATCCTTAATTGCTTGAATGATTAATCCTGCAGAGAATGTTGCATAAATCCTTGATCACCAATTGGTATTTTTTTTCTTTCCAGTTAATGTCCATCAGTGTGCTGGCAGTTTCTGCTTGGATAAGGGACTACCTCAATAATGTTCTGACGTTAACTGCAGAAACAAGGTAGGCTTCATAATCAATGATTGCTTTCTTTCATCAGGTTTCCTTAGACCCTAGTTTCTAAGTCATTTTGCCCTCAGCTGTTTAGATGATAATGCTCTCCCATGATCAATAACCTTTGTTACAGACACTTGCGTTTTCTAGCATTCTCTTTAAGGTACAACACTTGTCCTAGAAAACATTTCTGGGTATGGTGGCGCCAGTTGCCTGGCCTCTGGACAGTGTGGCAGCCACATCATGTTTGTACGTAAAGGACAGCATAGCTACTTTTCTGCAAGAAAACTACAGCCAACCTTCTTTCCTTTATCCCCCTCAGCTAAGGAAAAACCAAACTCAACATTGCCATTTTCCTCTCAAATTTCAAAAGGTTAATCCACTAATATCACAAGGGGCAAATCACTTAACTTCTCCCAGCCTCCATTTCCTCATAACTGAATGCGGACTCCACATATATGGCTCTAAAGCGTCTGGCGAATGGACTGAGGTACATGTTTGTAAAGTCCTTAACAGGGGAGCTAAGCACACAGTAATGGCTGATTTTTGTTAGAGTACTCTTACTAGTATGATTCTAGTTAATGATTTTTTCATGGTTGTCCAGCAGAAATCACCTCCCTTCCTCTTTCTTTTAATAGAGACCAATTTCCTTTGACACAGCAGTCTTTTGCATTTTGGGGGAGGATCCGTGGTTTTGGGGGAGGGCCCAGAAGAGGCGCTGGCCAGGTCAGAGAAGAGGAGAGAGACTCTTCTCAGCTGGGATACAGTGGGGCCTGTTTCTCCCCCACTCCCCAGGCTAAAGCTTCAGAGCTGCTAGTAGCTGGGCTTCTTACTGGGGACCCCGTCTTATAAGATATTTTACATGAGTTGAGGTAGAAATGCTACCACTTGTATAAAAAAACTAAACGAAATGAAACAAAAACAAGACAAGCAAGCAAATCAGTGATAGCGCAGTGGTTTTGAAAATAGCTACACAGTCGTCAGCTTTGAGGCAGGACGATTTAAAGGATTATGAACATGAATCTCAGTTGTGTCTTGTACTGTGTCGTAGGTGCATTTCGGTTATATTTTATGTGTAATGTGACATCACTGTTCTTCTTTCAGGGTAGAGGAGGCTGTCATCTTGACTTATTTTCCTGTCGTTCACCCAGTCATGATTGCTGTTTGCTGCTTCCTTATCATCGTGGGGATGTTAGGATACTGTGGAACCGTGAAAAGAAATCTGTTGCTTCTTGCATGGGTATGGTGTTTACATCTTCTCTCTATTATGGGTGAAAAGACCAACCAGTCCTGTATTATTTTTTCATCAGTGCACAGGATTACGTGCTTAGGGAACCGTGATAACAGTTCTCTAATCTGTGGTAATTGTTCAACATCCTGTGAGAAGGGAAGCGTTCTTTCCATGAGAGATGATTTCAGCACACGTATTTGTTGTACTCAAATGATGAGGTATGGAAATGTGCACGCTATTTAATTATTTCACTCAGGCTATGTGTTGATATTTTCATTTGAAAGTATGAGTTGTTTCCTTGTGTCATGGACCTTATTACCACCCGGACAGGCCCCTCGGGACTAGAACAAAGGAGTGATGACAGAACACTTCGTTCTCTCTCTCTCTTCTTTTTGTAAACAAACCTGCCATAAAAACCTATGTGGAAATTCAGGTGGTGAACTAAGGATAGATATCAAAATCCCAGCACTGCGTTTACATAGATTAGCGGGTAAATGGGAGTCTTGGTTTTCCATAATCATAGTGGGTTTTGTTGTGTTTGTTTTGATTCTGAAAGAGTTGGACCAGATTGCTTCTTAAATTCCCTTCAGCACTCAAATTCTATGATACTAAAATTTATGATTCAACTTCTAATTCAAAAATTAGGAAACTCTCTTTTAACGTTAAAAATTTGAGTTAATTTAAATTACAGCTCGTATATGTGTGTGTGTGCATGCGCACATGCACGCGCATGTGTGTGCGTGCGTGTGTGTGTGTATATATATATATGAGCACAATGAGTGTATAAAATACTGCATGTTCATGGCACCAGATAGAAAAGCTGCTACCATGTAATAATCACAGATATCTCAGGTTCTGGAAGAATTAGTTCATTGGATATATTCCTTTCTTTTCAATAGTTCTCAGTGCTAGCTGTGCATTAAATTCTTATAGGGAATGTAAATGAACATTTTAATGGGGTGCTAATATGCTGGATATCTGAGCAGAAAAAAAAATCCTGATTTGTAGCCTTTGAAGATTTCCATGGGCTAAATATATGAAGCAGGGTTGGTTTCCAGCCAGCAACGTGGTATCACTGAATGCACAGCTGGGGAGAGATGGGCACAAATCGGCTCTCTCAGGGGTCAGCTCCTGCACGCCAGGGCTTGACTGGCTCCCATCCCAAGCCAATTACAACAGAATCTCAGTGTGAAGCTGAACTAAAACTTTGAATTTCACAGAAACAACCTGTGTGAATATATTAGTTGGCTTTTTGGAGGCTAAGTCTTGGCTTCATGGACTCTTTAGGTCCATAACTGGGAGACAGAGAGTGCTGTAGAAAATAAACCACACTCAGGGAGGGGAGCGTGCCCATGACCTTACATTTCTCTATTTTGGTATACAGGGAGGAGCATGCCAGAAGGGTTTGAAATCTTATTTTGCCATTTAAGATATTTGGACAATAATTTAAACATAAACTCAAGGTCTTACTTTATATGAAACTTACAGTTTAAAGGACAGAGAAGGTATATTGAACTTTAAAAAAATCTCAGAATCCTTTTTTTCCTTAATTTTATTTACTTATTTATTTTAGAGAGAGCGAAAGGGAGAGATTGAGAGCAGAGAGAGGGGCAGAGGGAGAGAATCCCAAGCAGATTCTGCACTCAGCACAGAGCCTGATGCAGGGCTTGATCCCATGACTCTGAGATCACGATCTGAGCCAGAACCAAGAGTCTGATGCTCAACTGAGCCACCGAAGTGCCCCACTCTCGGAGTCCTTTTTTAAAACTGCAATCTTAGGGGAGCCCAGGTGGTTCAGTTGGTTAAGTGTCTGCCTTCAGCTCAGGTCATGATCCCAGGGTCTGGCTCTCTGCTAAGTGGGGAGCCTGCTTCTCCCTCTCCCTCTGCCTGCTGCTCCCTCTGCTGTGCTCTCTCTCTTTCTCTCTCTGTCAAATAAATAAATAAAATCTTAAACAAAACAAAACAAAACCAAAAAAACAAAACCACAATCTTAGAATGCTGTCTGATTTATACAACAATTTAAGAATAACTGTCTTCCCCCTGTCTCCAGCTTGTGTGATTCTGGAAGGTCCCTGGATTGTGGGTTGGGGTCGGGTGGGATAACATATTTCATAGAACCTCAAAGACTTTTAGGAACACGTTTTAGAACCATTTATGCATTCCGTTAGGCTGCTTGAATGCTAGTAAAGCAAGTTGACGAAGAACTAATTTGGTCTTTGCTTGAGGTAGGAAGAGTCATGGTTACCTGTGATGAGAGTCTAGTTTGTGAGGCTGGAAAGAAGCTTATGATGCAAAGGTGACGTGGGGGACTGAAACCATAATAATGACAAAGATGATGATAAAGTAGTTTATATGAAGAGTTTTATATGAATTAATCAATTTTGTCTCCTCCACAATCCTAATGAGATAGATATTGTTGTTTTCATGATACAGATGAGGAGAAGAGGCACAGAATTGTCGCTCTGCCTGAGTTAGCTAGTAAATGGAGTATATGCTATTCAAACCATGGCAGTCCAGTATGATGTATTTTTAACAGCTTCACCATAGCTGCTGCCTTTTCCTAAGTACTTACAAATGTTTCTCACATTATGTAAAACATTTTTGTATGATCTTTCATTTCTTCAACCTGGTAACAATCATCTAAGGTAGATAATTATAAATGAGGTTCAGAGATGTTCAGTAATTTGTCGGAAGTCACTCAGCAATAATGGATGGAGCTTTGATCCAAACCTCAATGTTTCGTACTGCCAAGCCCATTTTCGTTGGGCCTTTACTGATGTCTCTAGTAGATGCTTCTCAACCTTTGAAGCCTAGCACATTTCCTTAATTATGTATATTTTTTATAACAAGCTCAAACTATCAGACTACAAACAACTTGATAATATGAACTATTCACCTTGCCTGTAGCTTTAATAAATGTTTATTAAATCGAATAAGGGACAGGACATTAGAACAGTGCAACTAGGAGCAGCCAGCATCTCAGAGGGAAGATGGAGCTAGGAAGGCATGAACAGAGTGAGATTTTCAAGAAGGAGACTGACCCAGTAAACTGTAATTATTGTAGAATCAAAGCAGATCTTCATTTTGGTGCAAGAAGTAAACTGCCATCCTCACCACCTTATCTTTGGATGTTATTTGAACACCAGGGTTGACTTCAAGCAGGTTTATTGTTTGGATCTATACTGAAATTGTTAAAACCCCATATGAAAATGATCATCTTTAAAAGAAATAAAATAAAATAAAATGAAAAAAAGGATGAGCTTGACTCTTAGGGTTCCACTTCAAGGAGAACGACTTCTTTTTTTCCCCCCAAATTTTAATTTAAATTCTAGTTAGTTAACATATAGTGTAATATTGGTGTCGGGAGTAGAATTTAGTGATTCATTACTTACGTATAACACCCAGGGCTCATCATAAAAAGTGCCCTCCTTAATCCTCACCATCCCTTTTGCCCACCCCCAAGCCAGCTCCCTCCATCAACCCTGTTTGTTCTTTATCCTTAAGGGGAAAAGCCTTCATAAAGGAGTGGAGGGACATTAATGCAAAATATGGCAAGATGTTAGGTCTTTGGCAAATATTTGCAAGGCAACACTCTCACATTTTCTTCCTTTGTGTCCTTTAGCTTATCATCCTAATTAATATTTAAAAAAGTCCAGTACATTCAATCCAACTCATTCATTTTCCTGTATTAGAAGTATTGTTTCACTTGTAAATAAGACTAGCAGGAAGAAGTTTGTTTTTTGTTTTTGTTTTTGTTTTTTTAACACAACCAGTACCTCAAAACAAAACAAAAAGACAACCAGTATCCCTGAGATTTCCGTATCTTTTGAATGATCACCAAAAACCAGTCAGGCTATGGAGCTGCTCAAGCAAAAGTCAGAACATCTTTATTCATTGGACTGATCAAGAAAATGTGGGAGACTCTCAAAACAAGTCTTTATAACCAACCTGCCCTCCCTTCACAACACTCCCCCAAAATACCAACAACTGGGCAGGCTAAGAGGCCACCCACAGGAAAACATTTCTGGTGAACTTTGGTGATGAACTTTGACCCTTCTATTGAATTATGGTTGCAAGTTGTTAAAATACCTTAATTTAAGGTCCCCATATACGGTATCCATATTGAATGCAGGACGTACAATTAAATTAGGAATTCAGATAAGCAACAAATAATATTTTAGTAGAAGCATGTTCCATGCACTATTTGGGATTTATATCTACAAAACTTTATATATTGTGTATCTGAAACTCAGATTTAAATAGGCATCCAGGAATTTCGTTTGCTAAATCTGGCAACCCTACTCTAACTGGATTTGTTCTTAATAAATGTGAAATTGTCATAGAACAGAAACTTTTAGTATTTACAAGAATATATCTTTTATATTTATAGGAGTAATTAAATTCTAACTATATTAGGAAAACAAGGCAAAAATGACTAGGAAAATAAACTTGAATTAGCCATGATTTTCAGAGTGATTTTAATAGCAGAAATTCCTTCTCTTTTTTGAAGACAAATGGAAGCTAATGGAAATTGGTTTTAAACCTTAGTTGGGTACTCCCAAAGCTTTTAGCTGTAGACTAAATGAAATTCATTTGTTACTGCAATCCTACCTTCCTATTAACATAGGCATTAGGAAAGCGGAGCCAGCTCAGGGGAATGTAAACAGATTGAGCAGACATGTTTACAATATCGACAACAGCTGAATGTCGCCATCAGGAGATCGTCACTTGTCAGAGTGTGATGCTAATCTACATTCTCCCTCCCGCAAACCAGTTTAGTCAAGCACTGGTCAGAACCTACCTATGAAGCACTTCGTACGTTTAAGACTAAGGACCTTGTGTTTCCAAGGGAAGGTTATTTTTTTTTTTTCCCCCAGTTTTATTATCCCAGAACATTTGCATATGGCTAGTGATTATATGGAAGCACTTGTAAAGCTTTCTTAAAATATACTGTGATTGAACCAGATTTAAAATGATTCCCTTAATGAAAATGAAGTAAATTTTTAATG